GATCTTGCTAAATTCACTTATTACTTCTAGGAACTTCTCTGTAAATCCTTTGGCATTTTCTACAAAGATAATCACATCCTCTGCAAGTACAGTTTTGTTTCTTGCTTTCCAACCAGTATACCTCTTATTTATTTTTCTTACCTTCCTACATCATCTAAGACTCCTGGTTTAATGCTAAAGGAATGGTGAGGGGGGTATCCTTACCTTGTTTCTAAACTTAGAGGGAAAGCATTCAGTCTTTCACCATTAAGTAGAATATTGACCATAGGATTTGTAAGGATGCTCTTTATGAGGTTGAGAATGTTTCCTTCTACCTCAACTTTACTAAGACTATTTATCATGAAAGGAGTTGAATTTTTTTGGATACTTTTCCTACGTCCATTGAAATGACATAAAGACTAATACATATATTTTTTTAATCTGTTAATGGGGTGAATTTACATTGTATTTCTAGAAGGAGCCCTCTTGATTATGATTATATGCTGCTGGATTTGATTTGCTAATATGCTGTTGAGGATTTTTGCATATGTATGTTCATGAGGGATTTGGGGCTTTGTTTTTCTTTTTTTGTAATGCTGTTGTCTGGTTTTGACATTAGGGAAAATGTTGACCTCATAAAATGACTTGGGAAGTTTTACTTTGATTTTCAGGAATATGTAAGACTGATATTATATTTTCCTTAAAGGTTTGCTAGAATTCACTAGAAAAATCACCTGGGCCTAGTGTTTTTTTTCTATGGAAAATTATCAACATCAAATTCCATTTAATATACATACAACTATTGAGATTATTTCTTCTTGAGTTCATTTTGGTAGTTTGTCTTTTCAAGTTATATCTTTCAAAAGTTTCTAGTGGTTTTAACAAAAATGTATTACATAGAGAGCAGAAGACAGGATTAGCAATCTAGAGGACATCTCAAAATAAAATACCCAAACTTGAGAGGGGTAAAAAAGAATAAAAATATCAAAATAAGCATAAAATACAAATGCAATACAGTCTAAAGATCTTATATAAGTGTAATTGGGAGTCCCAGAGAGAGTAGAGATATTGGGGCAGAGGCAATATTTAAAGAAAGAATGGCTATGGGTTTTCCAAAACTAATGAAAGATATCAACCTACAAGTTTTAGAAGCTCTGAAAACTTAACATGGAATTAATCCAAAAGAACCATATCTAGGTATATAATGATAAGATTACTAAACACAAAGTTGAAGACCAAATCTTAAATGCAAACAGGGGACCCCCCCCCCACCTTATATCAAAGGAATATCGGCTGACTTTTTAACAGACATGAAAGAAACCAGAAAACAATGGAATGGCTTCTTTAACACACCAAAGAAGATAACTATTAACCTAGAATTTTACATGCAATAAAACCATCTTATAGAAAAGTAAAACCACAATGTTTTCAAACAAACAAAATCAGAATTCACAGCCAGGAGAATGACATGAAAAGAAGTATACAGGGAATTCTTCAAGCAGAAGGAAAATAACTCTCGAATCTAGATAGGAACATGGAATTGCAGGAAAGAATGAAGAATAATAAAAAGGGTAAGTATGTGGTTAAAATGAATAAAAATTACTATACAACAAAATTTCTTGTCTGTTTTATATACACAGAATTAAAATTCACAAAAATTCACAATAACCTACAAAAAAGGAGGTGGGTTAAAAGAATTAAATGTGTTTAGCTCCCAATATTATTGGAGAAGGTCAACAAAAAAATAATTTGTTGGTATGCATGTTAAAGTCTGTATGGCAACCAATTACAGAATAGTAAAAAAATAAACAAGTTAATAAAAGTGAAAGTAAATGGCAAAAAAAATACTTATTAATCCAAACAAAAGTTTCATCAATTGACATAAAAATTCTAGATTTTCATCCTTGAAAAAAAATAAAAAAAAGCTCATGTGCTACTTATGAGATATGCACTTTAAGTATAATGTAAAACACAAAGGATGGAAAAATATACAGCTTGCATATACTAGCCAAAAGAAAGCTGCTGTAACTATACTAACATTAGACAAAACATACTGTGAAACAAGGAATAACACTAGCGATAAAGAGGGACACTGCACAATAAAAGGTTAGGATCACAGTCTGAAATCTATATTCAACCAATGACATAGCTTCAAAATACATAAAATAAAACTAACAGAACTAGAAAAAGAGATACATCCACTATCATGAGACTTGGACCTTTCTTTTCTTTTATATATATATATATATATACATATATATATATATATTTTTTTTTTTAAGACAATTTTTATTTTATTTTATTTTATTTTTATTATTATTAGGTTCAGGTGTACAAAACAATGCAATAGTTATCCTTTTCAACCCCTCACAAAGTGACAATCCCCTACCCCCCCCACCCACTGCCCCCACCCCTGATATCATACATATCTATTACAATTCCCTTGACTCCATTCCCACACTATACTCCACATCTCATGATTATATATGTATTAAATTATAGTTGACATATAATATTATTCAACGGCAGCTTCAGATGTACAGTGCAGTGATCAGGCCTCTACACTGTCCATAAAGAGTTCTCCCTAACAAGACATGAGTCCATCTGACCCCCTAAAAAATATTTACAACATTATTGATTATATTTCCCAGACTATTTTATCTATTGTAGTTACCAATTTGTATTGTCTAATCCCTTCCCCTTCTTCTTCATCCCCACCCTCTCCCAACTAGCAACTCTCGGTTTTTCCTCTGTGTCTCTGAGACTATTTCTGTTTACATTTCTCATTTATTCAGTTCTTTAGATTCCACATATAAGTGAGATCTTTCTCTCTTTTTCTCTGCCTGACTTATTTCATTTAGCATAATGTTCTCTAGGTCCATTCATATTGTTGCAAATAGTATGATTTCCTTCTTCTTTATAGCTGAATAATACTCCATTGTGTAAATGTACCATAGTTTCTTAATTCAGTCATCTACCAATAGGCATTTCGATTGTTTTCAAGTCTTGGCTATTGTAAACAGTGCTTCAATGAACACAGGGGTGCATATATTTTTTCGCATTAGTGTCTTGGGTTTCTCTGGATAAATACCTAAGAGTGGAATTGCTGGGTCATAAGGTAGTTCCATTTCCAGTTTTTTGAGATACCTCCATACTGATTTCCACAGTGGCTGCTGCACCAATCTGCAATCTCATCAACAGTGCACCAGGGTGACTTAGACCTTTCTTGAAACTTGAAACCTACTTACCACCCACCAGACAGAAAAAAAAAATAATGCCAACCTGATCATATAGTTAAATGTGAAAAAAAACAACAGAAAGCCGTTAGAAAAATGTAAAAGGACAAAGACTTGAAGTAGATAAAAATTCTTAAAATGCTAATCAAAAAAGAAAAAAAATGATGAATTAGAGTCATTAGAATTCAGAACATCTTTTCATAAAAAAAGATACCATTAAGAGATTGAAAAGGCAATGAAGAGTGGGAAAAGAAAACTACAAAACATACGATTATACTTAAGAACTCATATCAAGACTCTATATATGGAGCTATTAACAAGCCAAGAAAGAAAGGAAGACAATCAGTACAAAAATGGGCAGATGACTTGAACAAAAGCTCACAAAAGAGGATATCCTAGTGATCAATGAACATATTCTCTAGTCATCAGGAAGCAGCAAGTTAAAACCATTATGTGATAAAATGCTAACCAAAATGAAATCACACACACAACCAACCAAGTTGCAGTGAGGATGTGGAACAAGCAGAACTCACATGTACTGGTATTGATAGTATTAACTGTAAAAGTCACTTGTTAAAAAATCTTGGGCAGTGTCTACCAAAGCTGAATGGACACATACCCTATGATGGAGTAATTCCACTGGTAGGTGAATATACAAATAAATGTATACAGTGTTAACCAAGGACATGCATAACCTTCTAATAGCAGCTCTATAATAGCCCAAAGCAGAAACAACCCAAATGTTGGAAGGAGGAATGAGTAAATCAATGGTAGTATTTTCATATGATGAAATATCATGCAGCAGCAAGAGCGAAGAACTATTGCTAAATATAACAAGATGTCTGCATTGCAAAATGTCCAAATTGTAAAAACAAAGTGAAACAAATCAGAAAAAGAAAAGGGGTAGACACTGTAGGATGTCATTTATATAAAGACCCAAACACACAATACTAATCTTGCTATTAGAGGTTAGGATAATGTTTACCCTTGGAGTGGCAGTACCTACGAGGAAAAACTGGGGACTTCTGCAGAGCTGATGTTTCATGTTTTGATCTGGTACATAGTTTACACGAGGTGATTTTATTATTATAATTCATGAAGCTGTTACTTATGACTTGTGTATTTTCTATATGTATATTATACTTTGAAAACAAGTTTAATTTAAAAACATTATGCATATAGAAACTTAAAATAGTACAAACTGGTGTCAATGTCACATAATTCATAATCAATGACTGAGCTTAGTGACCAATATGACATTCATAATAATTGTTTTTAAAACTAACAAATGAAACAAGAAATCAAACACAAAAATATACTGTAATTATTTCCCAGCTGTCATTTATGTTCTCATATTGATGTTCTCTAATATTAAACCTCATAGACCTGACCTTTCTTTTCTTCTTTAAATATTCAATTAACATAAAAATTAGCTGATAAGTTTCTTCAAAATACATATTTTATCACTGCCGCCCCAATTCTACCATTTCAAATCGATTTTCAGGATATGAAATGGCTTTGTACTGGGCAACATATTTTAAAGGCTATGAAAAAAATATAGTCACTACTCACTGACTCTTTAGGAGATAATTATCGCTAACTTTGTTTATAGTTCAGATGATCTGTGTCAAACATTTTGCATAATGACTCACGTCAAACAGGAAATTAGATATGGCGGCTGTATCCTTTCCTTCCCAATGATTAAATATTGCGAGTTTTAAGCATCTTGGGTGGTTTCCATACCCAGTTATAAAAAGCCTTCAAGAGAAAATTTTAGAAACTAACATATAAATGTCTTTGATGAGCCTGATGTGATTTCAAGACATTTTTTACCCGGTCATGGATCTCATCGCAGTTTGAAGGTGAACACCAATCAGAATGGAATCTGTAGGCATAAAATATAAAGGTGACTTGTAGCCAGAGGGAGAGAAAAAAATCATTTCAAAACCAGACACAGAAAGTCATTTTTTTCTTATCCCTTTCTTATAACATATAAAAATTAGAACAATATATTTTCTTCCTTTGACCAAGGATGAAAGGCAGATATAATATCAGGCACTAATTCTCAGCTGTAGTATTAAGTCCTCACAATATGTTCAATAGTCTTAATAATAAAAGTTTGACATGCATTTGGAAGAACATAACCATATATCTGACCATTTTAATAATTTCCACACATAATTCTTTAGAGCGCTATCCCTACATAAAGATATAGATTTTCATATTAGAACAATAATTCCACATAGAGTGCCTTTAAAATTGCTTTCCAATAACTAATCATACTCAAATTATGTGGAAGAAATTCCTTTTAGCATACAGAAAAATATAACTAATTTTCTGAAATGAAACAATATTTATAATAGATGAAAATGTTATTGATAATCCAATCATATTCTTATTCCTTCAGAATACAGGGGAACAATACAAATATTGAATCATTATGTTGTGTACCTGAAACTATTATGTTGTGTCCGTTATAACTCAATAAACAAACAAAAAAATAAATAAATACAGGGGAAGATAAAAATTGAGTGTTCACATCTCAGTACAGACAATATCACTTGCCTACTCTCTGTTATGACTTAAGTGTATTTTTTTAAAACTAGGAAAGAAAAATATGACTTTTATTAGCATCTGAGTGTTGGAATTAAAGACGTCAAAGAATAAAGCAACCATTCCTCTTTCTTAGGCCCTTTCCAAACTCAAAACTGGCCTTAGTACAAATTAAGCTACTTTGTTTTATACAAGTAATAATGAAAATTTCTAGATCTATGTGATTATAGTACATCTATATGAAATGCTATTGATAACTCCTTTATAAAAGAATAAGTACTAAAATGCTAACAGGTTGCTTGAAACTTTGACTTTTACCTCCCAATTTGTTCTTAAAGTTACAATTTTAATATTAACATGTTTTCAAAGAGTATAGACTATTAAGCAGGATAAATGATTTACATAATCTGTTTTAAAGAATGCAATCAATAATGGATGATCAACTATATCTAAATTTTAATCTCCTACATTTGTAAAAAGAAGTGTTATTGCATCTTGCAAATGTACTGGCAGACTCTTATTTGTAACACATCTTGAAAGTCTGAGATCCATATGTAGCTCCAATGGGATCTCTTCAATGATACCATGAGAGGATCCACTAGTCTGTGCTGTGGTATAAGAAATGATTGCCTAATGATCTTTAACTCCATTTACAAAAATCAAAACCTTAAGCATGATTTAAAAGCATATCAGCACCTTTTAAATTAGATTTGCTAGTATTTTAGTCTGATTCTAGTAATAACTCTACAGCTGAATAGAAATTATAAGTCATAATATTAATATTTCCACTTTGAGGAGAAAACTGCTCCTGAAATGTAACACTTATGAAAAATTGAAACCATTTTATGGTGTGCTCTCTTAGAGGTATTTTTGTTTAAAGCAAAAAGAACGTTCACTATAAATTTAAAAATTCATTTGCTTAGTCACTGATAGAGTTTTTAAAAGTTTGTCTATTCATATACATGATTAAAGATTTAGTATTTTACAGCAAATTCAGAAACAAAATTAATTTAAATGAATATTTGCCCAGATAAACTCCGATAGCTATATGTTTTGTCATACTCCCAATTTTGCCTGGCACATATAATCTACATTTCGATCAATTTAAATTGATTATTATTCCAATGGATTGCATAAACACCCTATAAGTATATTGCTCAGTGACCTAAAAAGCTAGATCAAAGAACGTCTTATATTTAAAGATGTGGTACTGAAAGTGCTAAAAAGAACAAATTTATTTTTGTCCCTAGTAATATGTCTTAAATATATTTTATTTTCCTTTATAGTCTAAATCTAGAACTTTTTTTGAAAATAAAACTAAAAGTAGAGGTGTTTACCTTAGTGAGAGCAATGAAATATATCTACTCTACAAAGTACCCCCCAAATTTTATTAATTAATTTTGATGAATTCAAAACTAAAAGTATCTCAACCTTCTTCAAGTCAGGAAAAATACATACTGTTTAGTATTAGAATTACTCATTTCTTTCTAGCAAAGAACTTATCCACATCTACTATCCAGCATCAAAATAAATGTGCAAATGACGCTATTTACTACTCTAAGCCATCCCTTGCATTGAAATATGAAAAAAGGACCATTGGCTTTAGCTATCCTCAACGAAAAAATTTTGAATATAGCCTCAATGAAGAATTTATCAACTTTGAAAGGACAGGCTTCAAAAGCTGGGACAAAATTACATACAACAATAAAATAACACAAGTCTAAAACTGATATTATCCTATAGAGGTAAACAATTGGAGAGTCCTGCAAAATATATAAAAAGGTAGAAAAATAAAATAATATTTATAAAAACATATCCAAAGAGATAAAGGTAAAATAATTCTTGAAAACCTACAGATACTGGAAAGAACCAATCAACAAAACCACAAGTGCTTAATTCTAAAAGCAGGTAAAAAGCAAGTAGCATCAACTATATGTCTGAACATCTGAGCAGACATGGAAATCAAAAAAACCCGATACTGAGAAGCAAGTCAACAGAATTCAGCAGAAAGCCTCTCTTGAAGAGCTTCTCTTGCACTTTTAAAGACTATAGATACAGATATGCAGAGTGACAGATACATACAGACACATATATCTCTGTATCTTCTCTGTATCTATCTCTGTATCTATCTAGCTAGCTAGCTAGCTATCTATCTAGCTATCATCTATCTATCTATCTATCAGAACTCAATGATCCCCATAGACATTATTCTAATAAACCAGAAGCAACATTAATAAAAATTCCCTATCTTGGGATTGGGGTCTCTGGCATACTTCCATATATCCATTTTGAATGCTTATAGGGCTAATGAGAAAACAGACAAAGCTATTTGTTCAGAATTGGCATGTTTTACTATAGCCTCCAAAATGGCACACTCTTGTTCAAAGCATCGGTTTAAGATGAACTTTTGATAGACTCTTTACAGTTAATTTAAACTGTGTCATTAAGTCTGATGGCCGTAATATGATGTAAAAATGTAGTGTGCTACTTTAGCTGCTGCTTTTTTTTTTTTTTTACTTTAGCTTCTTGATATCATCTGTAAAGATAGATTTTTCTTCCATGTTATTGATGGTATATTTGTTAGGTTTTCAGATTTCTATACAATTTTTAAAATACCCAGGATGAGTGTTTTTTTGTTTTTGTTTTTAATTGATGACAACTATTGTGTTCTGTTAGTATCTGTGAGCGGGGCAAGGAATTTCCAATGTGGATTCAACAGCAACAACAAAAACAGATGAAGAATTACTTATTTCACATTCAAATTACAGCTACTGTCTAAACTGTGGTTGCAAAAGTATTTTTAGTGGGAGAGCTGAACTCTTTACATTATTAAGATTCTTTTGGGGAGTTGGGGGGAGGTTATTTGAGGAAACCAGCTACTATATACCAACAATATATAGTATCATCATTATTACCAAAATGAAAATATAACCCATGTTATTTTTGTGCATGAGCCATGCCTATAATATTACCATGTTTCCCCATGTATAAGACGCACCCTATTTTGAAAAATTTGGGGTCTAAAAACTGGGTGCGTATTATACAGTGGTTGTAGATTTTTTTTACTTGCATTTCCCGCTTTTTTCGTTCTTGTTTTTGCGCTCATACAACCACTGTATATAAGACGCACCCAGTTTTTAGACCCCAAATTTTTCGAAAAAGGGTGCGTCTTATACATGGGGAAATACGGGGAATACTTAAAAATCTACTAAAAACAAACTATCATATACTCTATTTTTATGAACTACAGTACTTAATTAGGGCCAAAGTGACCCTAATTGATAAACTCACTAACACTAAACTCACTTTGAGAGAACTGGGCTGGGGTGGAGTATTTAACACTAGGCAATATGCAGTATGTTCTAAACAAAAACAATTTAAGTAAGCCTCTTAACATCAAATTATACTTTTACAAATAATTTCACATACACAATTTCTACCTTCTCTTTTCTAATGACAATTATTCAAAAAGTAGTCCAGAAATAGAGACGAAGCATCACCTTTCCCTGAGAGAAGCTCGAGTTAACACGGGACTTGTAGAGTGCTTTGGTGCTGTTGAGGGTGCTGAATGCACAAGTAACGTCCTGGCTGAGTGCTGGGACTTGCTACATGACCTGGGGCTCAAATACTCATCACACCTTTCCAAAGAGTCATCGAAGTCTCTCCCATGGGGTGTCCTGATAATCTGCTTAAAAAATTATATATGTATATACATAATATAGTAACATTACACAGACACACACACACACACACACACACACACACACATCCTTTGTACAAGTAAAGAAACCATATGTATAATGCCACATGTATATTTGAAGGTAAATTTCAGTAGCAATCATCATTATCATTTTAAGATTAAACATTAAATGCATCCGGATTGTTCATTCCACATGTCTAAGAGTTACAAAACTTTACCAATTCTAAAGGCTTTTGAGTAAGGGTGAGGTAAAGGTAGGGTGTACATATAAAACAAAAGAACAAGTACACATAAACTAATAATAGCTTAGTTTAGTTATGGGGCCAAAGAGAACAGAATTCTAGCCCTTAATACTCATTCAATGCTGCATTTGTCCTGGAGACAGACAAATGAATAAATCAGGATAGACAAATTTACAAATTCCTGCCCTTGTGGAACTTATATTCTAATACAATTTATATTCTCGTAAGGAGTGATAGATTTAAACACACACACCAAGATAAATAGGCAAAATATGTAGTATGTCAAAGGATGGCAAATACCATGGGAAGAAAATAAAGCAGGAAAGGAGACAGAAGTGCTGGTGGGTCGGGTGGGGGAGGTATGGAGGGGAGGAGCTGTAAGTTTAAGTAGGATAGTCAACGAGGACCTCACAGAGAAGAGAATGTCTTAGCAAAGACCTAAGGAGTAAAGGCCGAAGACGCTAAGACCTAAGTCATGGAGACATCTGTGGGAAGAATACTCCAGAAAGAGAGAAAAATAAATGCAAAGATCCTGAGGCCTTTCATGGGCACATGTGTGATATACTAGAAATAGCAAGGAAGATAGCAGGGCTGGACTGAATAATAGGAGATGGTCAAAAAGGTAGATTTTAAAGATTTAGGCTTTTATTCTGAGCAAAGAAAACAGGCTCTTTTAAAAAAATTAATAAGATCTCTTTGGCAATTATACTAAGAACAGTCTATATAGGGGCCAACGGGAATGACAGGGAAATCAGCTAGGAAACTATTACTACAAAATAGAGAAAAGGATGCTGGTTTGGATCACAGTGAGAGCAATGCAGGTGAAAAGTGATCAGATGCAGAAGCAATTTGAAGATGGAGCCCAATAGGATTTGCTAATGGATTGGGTGTCAAGGATGACACCAAAAGCCTCTGGCCTTGGCAGCTGGAAGAGCTGAGTTTGTATGAATTAGTTCTAACCTTCCAACTGGACAGGGCAGAAGAGTAAGATATTAGGAGACAGGTTTTGGACATCGGCTAACATATTAGAGTGGCATTCAAAGGGAGAGTCCAGGATAAAGACATAAATAGAATTTAAAGATATGACACTAGATGATATCACCAAGGAAGTGAAAATAAATAGACAAAAGAAAATATCTAAGACTGAGCCTTGGGAATACTCCATCATTTAGATGGGAAGATGAGAAGGAAATAGACTGAGGAGTGACTAGGGAAGAAGGGGAAGAAAAACAAAACAAAACAAGAGAATGTGTTGTTCTGGAAGGCAACTAACGAACGTACTTCAAGGAAGGGGAGTAATTGAGTCAAATACTGCTGATAGGTCAAGTGAGGAAGACTGAGAATGACCCTTTGGATTTCAGCAATAGGGAGGTCACTGGTGACATCAACAAGAATAGCTTTGATGGAATGATGGGAGTGATAATCTGGAGTTGCATTCAAGAGAGAATGAGAGAGAGGAACTGCATTCATTTAACACATAATTTACAGTCGCTGTGCTAAGTGCTGAGATTACAACAGTTTAGACTTTAGCAGTACTATTTACTGAATATTCGACCTTTAAGAAGGTCAATTTGACCTTTAAGAAAGATACCCAATGTCTCTCAGACTCATTTCCCTCTTATTTAAAATAAAATTACTAATAGCTAATTTATCAACTTGCTATAATTTATTTAAAGTATCTTGCGGAATGTCTACATGTATGAATTACAATAAATATAAGTAATTTATTGCACCAGTCAAACACAGCTTTTTTTGAATTGATACCACAATTTTCACTGTTTTCCAGAATCATATAGTGAGCTAACAGTCAGCTGAAAGAATCAAGCTTTCATCGCAGAACCAAATAGCATGTAACTCAAATGACTCAGTTACAGTCCCAAATAACTAAGAAATATGTGATCCAGATTGGATAAAAGAAAAAACTGAAAATTGCTCATCATTAAGTGCTCACAGACACAAAAAGCAAAAACAGTGAAAGTGAAAAACAAGATCACAGAGCTCCATGGTCACGAAATCCAAGTGTATAAGGAAAGGGGGGAAAAGTACTATAATGCTGTTTCTGGAATTACATCCAAATATGAACCGCTTGGCTTATACTAGAGGGATTATTTTCTCTTCATTAATAATTTGCCAATTGAGTCATGTTGGCTGGCGGAGCATTTTTTGTCTACTAAAATTTCTCCCAAACTATAGTCAGCAATGCTTTAAATAAAACCTCTTCAGATGACTGCAACTGATTTTTTCCTCTATTAGAACATTCACTGAGAATCTCTTGAACAACATGTTAGCTAATACTCAGCTCTAGAGAGGTACAGGGATTTGAACTCACAATCCAGATGAGACAGGGCATAGAAAGGTTAACAGAAAGAGATATGCTAAATGTCAGATACACCGTAATGACAAAAACTGCAGAAGGAAATTCAAGTACCTCTAATCATCTGAATGGTGGAGGTCTCATGGAGGAGGTGAGATTGGAATTAAGGCCATAAGTAGAGAAAAGGGAAAAAGGGCATTCAGAACTGGGAAAAGGCACAAGGACAGATAAACAATGACTGCAATCACTTGGCTATCTCTATAGGAAAGTAATAGGGGAGAATATCATAAGAGATGAAGGGCACGTTGTAGAGAGCTTTAAATGACATAACTCAATACTATTCAACATGCATTAAGCATCTTCTATGCACTGTATAAAGTACTGAACAAGGCAGGGAAAGCAATCACAGAGAAATATAATAGGAGACCTCAAAGATGTTACAGTCCAGAATGGACATTAAAAAAGAGACATTAAAAAACAAGTAACGATAAAACACTGAGGAATGAAATTAGAACTAAATAGACATACAGTAAGTAACTGTACAATGGGAACACAGCTGGGATGTATTCTTTCCATAGAATTAGAGTAAACATTTGTTTTGAAAAGTTTTATATCTAAATGGGGGACTGGGAGGTATAATGAGGGGTAAGTCTTCGATAGGAATCCATTTCGAACTTTCAAATTTAAGCCTTAGTTTAAGAAATGTTTCAAAGAAACAAAAACTCATAGATGTAGTTTAGTGATTACCAGAGGGGGAGGGGGAAGGAGGAATGGGAGAAGAAAGAGGGGGTGGTCAAACATACGGAGACAGAAGGAGAACTGACTCTGGGTGGTGAGCACACAATGTGATATACAGATGATGTATTATAGAATTATATACTTGAAACCCATGTAATTTTACTCTCAATAAAAAAAAAGAAATGTTTCCATATATCGTGTGAGTTTTCCACAAGTTACTTATTCACTTCCAAAAACCCAATGGAGTATTATCTTTGGCTCATTACAGAAGAGTTCATTTCTTGGATGACTCCTCAAGAATACTGATCCAAACACGTGGGCTCACATCCCTCCTAGCTATGTGACTGATGTGTGTTTGTGTGTGTGTGTGTGTGTGTGTGTGGGCACGACAGATTTTAAGCAAAGGTGAAAATAAATAAATATAAATGTATAAATATATATATATATATATATATATACACACACACACACACACACACACANACACACACACACACACACACACACACACACACACATACATACAATTTTAAATTGTGAAGCATGACTTAGGAAATGCACAAAGGTGAGCTTGGCCCTTAGGTAGGACAACTAAGGAGGCTTCCCTGGGCCCCATGCAAGACACTGAACATCATGTTTTTTGATGTGTATGTGTGTGTGTACATGCACATATGTATTATACACATCAGTGTGCACGTATATGTGCATGTGTGTTTGAGTAAATTCCACGTAATAGGATGGGTCCGCACCAGTTGAATTGTGCCAGGCCCACACTCCTCTCGGGGCAGCCTAAACAAGGGCACAACCTCACACAAACAAGGGGCAGTTCTAACAACGTAAGCGCTATATTCATAGTCTATATTAGTGGTTCTCAAAAGCCAATCCTTGGATAAATGGCAAGAGAGCTGCATACGAATGACCTTGAAACTGGTTAAAAATATTTCAAGTCTCCATTCTCAACAATTTCAATTTAGCAGGTCTGAAATGAATTTTTATGAAGTTCCACCTGGATGATGCTGACACTCTGGTTGATCTGAGCCCTCAGTCATACAGTGCCCTGACTCATTTACTTACCTGTTCTATATTTCTTTTATCACACTCAAAGCATGGCAAAGTACCATGGTATGTGGTGCCAGTAAGCATGAAATAAATTGTTTTCAAGTAATAAGCAAAAGTATAAGGAAAGCTATGTTTCTTGTTTTGCTTTGTTTTCCCCAATATAATACTACTTATTATCAAGAAGCTTTCATTTAAGGACAGAAAAGACAAACTCTGAGGCAGTGCTTCTCAAAATGTAGGACATGAACTACTAGTGGTATGGCAGATAATTAATATGGTACACAAGAATATTCTACATGGCACATGGACATACATTAAATAATACAGCATCACATAGGAAACAATGTATTTTCTTTTCAATTTTTTTTTAATCAGAAATCTTCAGTTAGCTCTTTATGCCTCCTATACCTCTCTTATCATTGGTTATCTCATTTTAAGAAATAGAAAACGTGCCTCAGGGCCTTTGGAAAATAACAGTTATCTAGCCAGAATTCAGTAACACTGTTTTGTTTTCACTGTATTTTTTAAGACTATCATCCACTCAAAGCATGTAATATTGATTTTTCATTTACAGAAGTGAGATAAAAAGAAGGTAAATTTAAATAGCATAAATTGTAAGTAGGCATTGCAAAAATTATGAGGGTCCTCTGTGAATGACTGAAGTTTAGAAATAGTAGTCTGTGAGGTATTACTAAAATAACCAATTTCTCTGTCTGTCTCCCTAACAGAGACACACACATATACATACACAAACATATTCAATAAGTAATTAAACCAAGTGAACGATCAAGCGCCACAAAATATTTGTAGGAAGACATGAAATAAAGTCTATTCTAGCACTTGACAGTGTAGCCAAAATGACGACATTCATGATATGCCAATTATTGTTTATACATTTTCTTGACTATGATAATCTCTGCTGTATGCTTTTATCTGAAAGCAAGGACAATTATTATTCTCTAATTTACACTACATACCTTATAATCCTTGGGTCGGTAGCAGCCAAGGTGAGAATGATCTGAAAAAGGATATACAAAAGAAACTATAAACATTTCATATCAAAAAGAAAATTTTATTTATGTTAGATTTTTGCTATCACTGTTTCTGTGATTATAATGCATACAGCAGTTTTCAGAAATATCTTAAAATCCTTCAACACACAGCCAAGATGATAAGCAACAAGTTAAAATCTGTATCAGTTCTTCAGTTACTAAATGATTTCACAAATACTAATTTCATTAGAGTAGGAAATAATCTGAACATAAACCAAAATAATTTTTAGTTGATAAACCAATTTGTCTACATAAATGGTTATGAAATCGATATGGGTGAAACGGAAAATTTTTAGTCGATAAACTGGTTTATGATGAAATGTAATTTGAATATATAGATTTGAAAGGTATTGTCAAACTACATGTGTTCATATTCTTGGAGTCTGTGCTAGAACCGAGTCTGTATGATGGAAACAGGGTCAACTTTAGAGGGTGGTAGCGTGCTTTAGTGTACAGACCTTGTTGACAAGTAGATGTACGTTACAGTCCAGCCCCCAGCACTTCCTATATGACCCTGGGCACATTACTTAATCCTTCTAAGTCTCAGATTCCTCATCTGTCTGATAGCCCTCTTTATAATTTGCCTCATAGCTTATATTAGATATTACATGTAAGACAATAAAATAAAGGTTGACTATTATTACTAACCCCATCATCAACACGATTACCATCGAATTCTAAGTCAAACAAGCCTAGGTTCAATTTCTGATTCCACCATGTATCAAATATATTACTTTGGTCAAGTTATACAATTAATCTGTCTCATTCCTCATTTTAAGAATCTGAAGACAATGCTTACTTTACCTCAGGGAATAATTGTGATGATTAACCTATACAGCTTATGAAAGTCCCTAGCACAGTATCTGTTACAAAGTGGATTAGAAAACTATTCTCTCTCCCTGAGATAATGACCACTGCATTGTAGATGAAGATTTTGGGTTTTGTTCATTACTTAAAGGAGTCAACTTTCAATACCCAACTTTTAAGTATTTTATAACCTTTGTTATATTGGCAGTCAAGCAAATTAGAACCATAATTTGCAATTCTATTTCCTTACACATTCTGGTCAAAAGCATTCTAACATTTTATATTTACCATTCAAACACCTTTGTCCAGAAAAGAAAATGTCTGTATGGAGAGACACCTAGGATAGTTTCTATTCAGTTAGTTAGCTGTCTTTTATGGTACAAGATGCTGCTCGTTTCAAGTGTCCTACCGTAGACGACAGCTGAAACATAATGTCTGTCACACAAGGAGAATTTCACCATTTAATTCAGTAAGATTCAACTTTAAGTGCTTTTCAAAATTAAAAATGAAAGTAAATCACAGTCCGCCTCCTCTTCTGTAAAGTCTAATGTACATCATGGCCACAAGTAGCAGAAGAAACAAAAAAATGATAAGGACGTACACTCAGCCTTGTTTTCCAAACATGCTAACTTTGAAAAGCAAGGTATACAAAATGTAAGTAAACACTGCTTTTTTTATATTGTAAAAAAATTAAGGTAATAATTTCTGGACATGGTATATATTCCTTCTGACAGCTAATGTAATATTAAAAGTATCAATATATTAAAACACTGGCACGTCTTCTGCTTTCCACAAACCATTTATAAACTTACCCTGATTCAGGCAGATTTATCATTTTCTTTCATTTTTTACAAATCAAGCTGTTACTTTGATCTGAGGTTTCCCAGTGTTCACATTTAATCACCCTTACCAATAATTACTAACTATATTCTAAATGCATGAGATAAAGGAGATAAGAGTCATGGCCCATGGTTGTGAGGTGCTTATCATTTATTTACTTTGGTTTGGTTATGTTATACAAAGTTGAATAATAGCAGCATGAAAGAACAGGCTAAGTCAGAATGATACAGGCAATTAGTGCTATTAAAAGGTCGTATCAGAGGTCAATCTCTCAAGGTTGAAGGCAATCAGCAAAAAACTTCCTGAAGGAGAGAAGTTGAGTTGGGCCTTAATTAATGGATCACATTTGAGAAAAGTATGAAGAAAAAGCTAATTCCGATCGTGTGTGCGCACGCGTGTGTGTGTGTGTAATCCCGAACAACCTACTTTATTTCTTTAAATCTCGGGTTTCTTCATCTGTAAAATGGGGATAAATAATAGTATCTAAAATTCCTGAGGTTACTATGAGTAATTAACCAATGAAATATAAGTACTTAGAATATCAACTAGCAGAAAACACACATTTAATAAATGTTAATTCCTGGTTGATTCTCTAGTAACCTCATGAAGTAGGTGTATGGACTAAATGTTTGTGTCATCCCAAAATTCATTCTTGAAGCCCTAACCCCCAAAGTGATGGTGTTTGGAAATTGGGCCTGCGGGTGGTAATCAGGGTTAGGTGAGGTCATGAGGGTGGGGCGCTGAGACCTCAGAGAGCTTGCACTCATGCACATGCTGTCCTGTTTTCCTCAATCTCTTTCTCCATGTACATACAAGAGGTCATGTGAGCATAGAGTGAGAGGGTAGCTGCCTACAAGCCAAGAGAAGGGATCTTAGAAGGAAACCTGCCTTGTCAGCCCCTTGATCTTGGATTTCCCATCATCCAGAAATGTTATAAAATAAATGTCTGTTGTTTAAGCCCCTGGTCTACAGTTTTTTTGTTATGGTAGCCTAAGCAGACTAATGCAATATGTAACACTAATTATTATTTCTACTCTACATTTCAGGAGGCTGACTTCCTATATAGCTAATAAGTAATTGAACTGAGGTCTTTAATTATTAGTTCAGTGCTACTTCCACTAATATAACAACAGATTTCCTTATAAAACAAAAGCACACTTTAGTCTCAAAAATGACATCAGAGGCTGGCCGAGTGGCGCAATGGTTAAGAACTGGTTTGGGATGCCAGAAGGCCCCAGTTCAGATCCCACATATGAGGGCCAGTGACACTGCCCTCCATAGCTAAGATGCTGAACAACAGCTCAACCTGGAGCTGGGCTGCTGTGAGTCGCCGGCTACGGTGTAGGCTGCAGCCCCTGTGGCAGTGGGTTGCCATGGGCTACCGTGTGTAGCCAGCAGCCAGTGTGAGCAGCCAGCAGCCAGCGTGAGCGGCGGTCCAGAAGCCGGTGACTGATCTGCCTCACCCGGGAAGAGCACAATGATGGTGCCAACTTGGGCCAGTGAAGCAACGTCCTCCACAACTAGACTGAAGAACAAAACGACAGCAACTTGTCTGTTCCCCTTCCCCAAATTCCCCAGAGCTGTTCCCATCCCCCCAATTCCCCAATAAAAATCTTTTAAAAAAAATGACATCAGATTATGGATTTATTAACCAAATGGATGTGATATATAATTGAAGTAATCAAGTATCACATAGTGACTAACAGTACACATTTTAAAAAAGGTGGCATCAGTCATCAAAACATTTTCTTTGCAACCATCTAATATAGGATTCTCTTTGTATTACAGTCACCATTTATACTGGGAGCAGCCTGATAACCTCGAGCCTCTGCAACCTTTCTTTCTCCATCACTGACCCTCACCAACAGGTTCAGATGTGACTCGGTCCTAAAGGACGAATCCCAGCTTCAAGCAGGACTTAAAGAAATTTAATCTAAAACTTAGCATCTCTGTATCAACTCATTCTTTCTAGCAAAGTAATTCTTGAGTCTTATTCTGAGAATGATTACCTCTGAGTTAATCCTTATCTTTGGCAACCTGCAGAGTACCCTACTATCATCTTCCTTTTTTATAACTTCAAGGAGTTCAATCCCATTCTGGTAGTTAGTGCTACTACTGTTGTAAAACTTCCCTAATGCTGAATGTATATACCTATTTGAACCTTCATAGAGTGGGCCCCTGGAGTTCTCTGTCAGCACTTACCCTACTGCCCACGTTAAGCTTTTAAGGTTGGCCTCTGCTGTGCTGTGATTCTCCATGGAGCATACGGCCAATGCATTTGCCATATGTCAGTCCCTATAACTGGAAGCAAAGCTAAGATGTCTAGCTTTATAAAATAAAACCAGGGTTCAATCTCTCTCAGGAGATCCAACCTTCTAAAAAGGAAAGGCACTTAAAAAACTGTTTTCTATCTCTTGCTCACTTTTGATGTATTCACCTGAAACTGTTTATTCTGACCTTTAATGTATTTATCTCTTTTATTTCTATGGCTGTCAAAATCTCAGTAGCAAAAGTCTCCGACTTTCCCCCTTCATTTTTTTTTTTTATCTGAAATTTAGGAAGAGCAAGTTAAGTTCCCTGCTTACCAGTGACTGCAAGAATAATGATCATCAGGGCCGGCCGAGTGGCGCGATGGTTAAGAACTCGCTTGGGATGCCAGAGGGCCCCGGTTCGGATCCCACATATGAGGGCCAGTGACACTG